AAGTTTTATAGTGTGCTAGCTGGGAGAATAGTTTTCTGCTCTTTTATTTAATTCCGAGTGAAGGATTTTGTTCTGTTACTCAAATAAAGATAAAACATAAAAATAAACCTGGTGTTATTGCTGGCAGTGTTATAGGGCGTTTAGTTTTGTACCTACAATAATGTGGAGCGAGCTAAGAAACACAATATACTGAATCTTAAAATTGTCATTATTGCGTTTCCTGTTCAGGCAAGAATTTTTCTATGATCTCATTTTTTCTTAACTGATCTCATCTTTTCTTCTTGCTTAAATTGTCTTTCTGTATAATAAAAGTCTTTATGGAACTAGTATAAACTTTTTATATGTCTAAATATCTTAACATTGCTGTAGTATTTGCCATTCTGAACTAACCTCATTTTACTTTGAATGCAGCAGTTGCCTCCTTTAACAGTTATCCATTTGCATGTATTAGGATAATAACCAAATAAGTAATATGCATATTACAAAATACTTCAAGGAGTCATAAAGAAGCAGTACAACTGTAAAAAATAACTCAATCTTAAGTGCTAAACAACAGACCTTTTCAAGGGAGGTGGCTTGCAACAACTTTTAAGAAATCACCCTCTAAAACTTGGGCCTCTTGAAAGTGTTCGGTTTGAGTATCCCAAAATGGAAATGTTTGAGGATGTGTCTATACTGATTAAACAGTGCCAGGGGACATTCTTGGGCATTGGAACTTCATCATTATTGTTACTGCTAAATTGCTAGAGCTATCTTTGGCCCACAATGACTAGCCACCTTCAGGCAATCCCCAGGCATGAGTCAGGGGTTACAGTGGGCCAGGGATTATTCCCAATAGGCAGTTTGCTTACAGCCACTCTATTTTAGCAGAAAGATGAGTTTAATACTATGGATACAGGCCAGCTGGCCTCTGAGCTTTGCATATATCTTGGACTGCTCTCCGGCACTGAGATCGATGGTATAAAATGGTCTGCTTCTATACTATTACATACCCTTAGCTTCCAGATTGGTTGCATCCACATAGCCTCTTGGGACAAGTCCCTTGTTCGTGCTTCTTCCCATATGATATCTGAGTATTGTTTGAGAAAAAGTTAGTTGTCCTAGGCCAGACAATACCAGGGACTGTTCTAGTGATTTAACAGCACAGAAGATTAAATTACAATGCCCAGGAAAACTCCTTGGCACGGTTTCAATATAGCTTCAGAATTACTGATCGCTTTCGAACATGAATAGCATGAAAGGAAGGTGCTGCATATATTAAGGCAATGTAGCAATAATTAGAAATAAGGTGAGAGGGAACAGGCACAGTCTCAGACGAACCTTTAAGACAGTTGTGCTTGCTTGTATTTCTTTAGGACAGTGGTGAAATTACAACTGAGAGCAATAGAGATGAGTAAAGCTGGAGGATGCACAGATAAAGGTCCCGTTTGGTACTATTCTCTGCTGGGATTTCAGGGCTATCATGGATTCAGGCTTGTCTAGGAGAAGGCTTTCCTGCTATCACTTATTTTGGCCATTTCTCCGTTTCTTATGGAGGAGGAGTGGACAGTGCCCTGCCACATCCCAGCTTCCCTGAAGAGCAGAGAGGAGTTTGCATGTAGGAGGAAAGGAGAGATTCCATCCACTGACATTTTCGTAAGGATGAAGGAGAAAGAGCTGTTCAGGGCCCTTCTGCTGCTACCACCTATTTTGTGAAAAAGAGTCAGCCAGCTCTCTCCGCCTTTGCCCTTTATCCCAGGGCTGCTTATGCAAACTTGGAAAACCTGAAGAAAGCTGCAGTTTTCTCTCCTCTAGACCAAGTTGAGAAAGTGAAGAAGTCTTGGAGATGCCTTTCTGCTCCTCATTTGTGGAGGAGAGCTGCTGCAGTTGCTGAATCTGACCTAGAGTGGGCTACAGAGCCCCCAAATTTCCCCCTGCAGCTGGGAAGGCTCCTCAGCCCGTGCTGACCCTGGGTGGGTGTGCAAAATCGAGTATGTGTGCTTGGTCACAGCCAAAGTGGCAGTTCAGGGCAGAAGAAAACCTGCAGGGAACAGAGGGGGAAAAAAATAGAATTTTCAACTTCAGAGGAAATTAAGAGGCTAAATATTCTTTTAAGCTTTAGTCTACATATATATCTGAAAATGAATCCTTCCAGTGAGATCCAAAGTTTCCTTGTATTGCTAATTTTGCAAAGTTGGCATCACTATAGCTGTCATTTACAGGAAAATTGGATGTTGAGTGAAGGAAGAGAAAATATTGAATAAAGCATTAATCTGTTCTTGCCTTACCTTGCCTTTCCTGTCATGACTTTGGATAACATAAATCATGCTCTGATTTTTTTTTTAACATTTGTATTCCCAATACAAAAACCTGTGCTGATTTAGAAGTAGATTTATGGTTTTACAGGTCTTTCCAATTTCCAGATCCTAGGAATGTGTGACTTTTCATAAGACCAGTGGAAGAAAATTACTTTTGGATTTGAAGACATTTGCCAAAGTTGTGAGAAAGTTCGTTGTTTAAATGTAAGAGCTGTTAGGAAGAAGATTTTCTAGTATACAGGGCAAAACCATGGAACTGCTAAAAAATTCATTGAAAGTTTGTATGAGTGTTCATATCTGATTACCACCCTGAAATTCAAAAGAGTCCAACAACAAGACTCTAGTTTTGACTTGTTTTTTTGCAGGGAAAAAAATACCTGTCATTTTACAAATCTCCTTCTACTCTCTTT